GAAGGTCCAGCATTCGGGGGATCTTCTTTTCCACTGGCACAGTCCACGCATTCTTTCACAAAATGTTGGACGTCCGCATACATGCCGGACCAGTAGAATTCGGTACGTAACTTCTCATGCGTCCGAGTGCTCCCTTGACGTCCACCTTGGAAATCTTCATGCGCGTGATGCAACATGTCTTCCCGGAGTAAACTCGAGACTACCAGTCTCAGATTATCCACGGCGTCTCGTGGTCTTCCACGAACAGAGTGTGGAAGTCTGTACAACACTCCTCGGTCATCCAGAACGAACAGATCTGCGACCTTACTGATCTTCTTCAAGCGCGTGGATGAGAACCTGTCGAGATCGTCATTCAGGAACGCCCTTAACTCTGCTAGATACTCATCACTCTCTTGATGTACCTTGATTCGTCTCCAGCGTTCAGCCTGAAACTCTAGCGGTCCCATGGGCGGAACTTCGTCACCATCAACTTCTTGAGCTCGCGATCTCGTGAGTACTGCCGGTACATATTAGTCGGCTCAAGCCAAGAGTGGTTTTCCCAAAGAGACCAACAGTCGAGGTTGACGTCGCAGATGATGATGATTTCGACACAGCACTATTGCCTGAAGATTGCTGGGAGCCTGATAGCTCGAATGACGTGTTTGAAGTGGAGTCAATTCAGGATGTGCGATGGGTGAAACGCACCCGACTAGACGATCTCGAGAATATCTCGTCAAATGGAAGGGGTATGATAACCCAGAGTGGATCCCAGTGTCACAACTCAATTGCGGGTCACTATTGTATGGATTCAACAAAGGAACGCGAGCACGAGCTCGTTTACAGGCGATGCAGGCTGGGGACGACCACCCGAGAGTGTATCCAACCCGAATGACGTTACCTGAACGACATTAGACCGTGGAACTATGTGAACGGATTGTGATTTTGTTTGATTTGTGATGAAGAATTGTGGAGATATTCAGGATATTGGATGAGGAATTCATTTGATGACTGAGAGTGTTGAAACAGATACGAAATTGTTGAAGAGTATCGGATGTGGTGCGATGAATAAGAAAGACAGTGAACTC